CTGGTGTGGCGCAGTGGGATAAGCACTGGACTGCCAACCACCAGTCATTCTTTGGAAACCCTATACAGAGTTGCTATGAGTCAGAACCAACTTGACAGCACTTAACAACAACAATAAAGGCAAGCTCATAAAATATTTTAATAGGGTCATTCTCTATTAGGGATTATTAGAAATTTAACAGATTATGAGTGGTAATAGAAGCTTTTCTACATTCATATATTTTCAGCAGAAATTCTCTAATACTTAGTAAATAATGAGTGTGAGTCAAAAAGAACCCCACATTTATTAGACTTTCTTCTGGTATGATTTCTCGGATGTTCCATAATGGAAGTGGCAAATAAAGGCTTTCTGACATTATCTCTAATTAGCGTGCTCTAATACAGAGTTCTGCTGTGGCGCTGTGGGTTAATGCGCCAGACTGCAAAGCCGTTTGAACTGCAAGGTTAGTGGTTCAAGCTCACCAGCTGCTCCTTGGAAACCCTATACAGGGTCACGACGGGTCAGAACCAACTCGACGACACTTAGCAACAACAACAATATTGAGCCAGGTGAACACTCTAACATTCAAGGCTTCTAACCAGTATGAATTCTGTAATGTTCAATGAGCTGTGAGCCAAGGATGAAAGCCTGCCCACACTCTTTACACTCATATGGCTTGATACCAGGATGAATTCTCTGGTGTTCGGTAAGTTGTGAACTACGGATAAAGGCCATTCCACATTCCCTACACTCATAAGGTTTCTCGTAAGTATGAATTCGCTGGTGATGAGTCAGCTGTGAAACACGAATAAAGGCTTTCCCACATTCTTTACACTCATAGGGTTTATCACCTGTATGGATTCTTTGATGTTGAGTTAGGTATGAACTACGGCTGAAGGCCTTTCCACACTCCTTACACTGATAGGGTCTGTCACCAGTGTGAACCCTTTGATGTCGAGTAAGCTGTGCATGCTGTCTAAAGGCCTTCCCACATTCCTTACATTTGTAGGGTTTCTCCCCAGAATGAATTCTTTGGTGCCTAGTAACTTCTGAGCTATGTATAAAGCCTTTCCCACATTCCTTACATTCATACGGTTTCTCACCAGTATGAATCCTATAGTGTACAGTAAGCTGTGAATGCTGTCTAAAGGCTTTCCCACATTCTTTACATTGGTAGGGTCTAGCACCTGTATGAATTCTCCGATGTACAGTAAGTTGTGAGCCACGAATAAAGGCCTTCCCACAGTCTTTACAGACATAGGGTTTCTCGCCTGTATGAGTTCGTTGATGTAGAGTAAGTTGTGAATGCTGTCTAAAAGTCTTTCTACATTCTGTACATTCATAGGGTTTGAGACCAGTATGAAGTCTCTGGTGGAGAATAAGCTCAGTGGTCCGACCAAAGGCCTTCCCACATTCCTTACAGTCATAAGGCTTCTCACCTGTGTGAATTCTCTGATGCTGAACAAGGTGTGAGGCACGACGAAAGGCCTTCCCACATTCCTTACAGTCAAAGGGTTTCTCAGCAGTATGAGTACTCTGATGTTGAGTGAGGTGTCCACCATGAGTAAATGCTTTCCCACACTCCTTACACTGAATCAGCTTCTCACTGGTCTCATTGCCAGGATGTGGCATGAAGGCTGTGTGGTTCTCAAAAGTAGGCATGCTTCCATAGGTGATTTTCACCTGCTTGAAATAGCACTCTGGATTTACTTGTTGCCTCTCAAACTGGCCTCTGGCCTCCCAGGCTTCTCTCAGACTGGAGCCCTCAAGGTCATAGCACTTAAGTCTTTCCACTATTTCCCAATTGAATGACCCTATTTCAAAAACATCTTTTTGTGGTAATTTCTCACCTCTGGATTCCAGGTCTGAAAAAGAAGAAGAAAGGACATGAAAGCACAAATACAATGAGAGCTCGCATGGTGACAGAAGGGAGGGCAAAACAAATTAAGTCAAGAGTTCTAAATTTTGATATGGATCAGAATCACCCAGGAAATCTGTTAAGAACACAAATGTCTAACCATCACCCAGCC